AGCAAGCTGGTCACACAGGCCCCTTCACTTTGTCTCCTGCCCACCTCTCCCTGCTCCCTCCATATGCTTTATCTATCAGCCTTTCCAGACGCTTGAACAAACCATGTTCTTTACATTGGACGGTCTCCTTCACTCTTCTTCACTTAAGTCTTGCTTGTGCTTCAGGTTCAGTATTGTTTTAATCCTCCTCCTAATCAGTTTGAGTTAGAGTGACTTCCTTCTTGACAAAATACCCTGATATTCTTACCTCAACACTTATCACTTCACATTGTACTATTTGCTTTCCTTGTCTCTTCCCCAGAAGACCCTGAACTTCATGACATCAGGAATGCTTTTCCTGTTTGTAAACTCAGCAGCCAGCAGAGTGCTTGGCAGAAAATGTGTTCCATACGCATCTACTGAATGAAGGCCAAGACTGTTAAAACAGCTATTTTGCCAGCAGTTCTATGGGTTGTTCTGGACAGTCCATTACTGCCATTAACAACTCAAAGCACATGTCCTCCTGGCTTATGGATCAATTTTGCCTTGGCACACAAAGGAAAATACATTTTTATTTCCATAGATTTGGGAGATTTTATTGGCTCTTGCTCCAGTCACTTTCAAAAACAAGACCAGATTGCTTTAAGAGGATGCCACAGGACTTGCCTATCTTCTTTCAATGCTGGAGGCACAGAGAAGAGATGAGCCCATTCATGTTGCTTTGACAGAGAGATAGCCCATCAGCAGCAACAGATAAATGGAATAAAAGTATGTCACTAGATACACAGTTTATTTTAGACATGTACGACCACCAACAGTTCATTTCTATTGTGAAAAGGGGCAGCATAGGGTTAAAATGGAAACTCCAGCATCAAACAGTTTGCATTTTAACATACAATGATTAGCTATGTGACTTTGAGCAAGTTAATCTAACTGTAAGCATACTTCACTGCTTTAAAAGAGATAAAAATATTTACCTTAGAGTTGTTGAGGATTAAGTGAGATTATTTAGGTGAAATTATATTAAGACATGTAATACCCTAACTGGTTTGGCTCAGTGGATAGAGCGTCAGCCTGCGGACTGAAGGGTCCCGGGTTCGATTCCAGTCAAGGGCATGTACCTTGGTTGCGGGCACATCCCCAGTAGGGGGTGTGCAAGAGGCAGCTGATCAGTGTTTCTCTCTCATTGATGTTTCTAACTCTCTATCCCTCTCCCTTCTTCTCTGTAAAAAATCAGTAAAATATATTTTTTTAAAAAAAAAGACATGCAATAATTCCTCAGTAAATACTTGTTGCTGTTATTGGCTCTGAAAAGGGTTCAGGAGTGTGTAGAATATATCTAAGGAACCTCAGAATATTCTGCCTTGGAGCAGCCACTCTTCCCCAAGAGCTCTCTGAGGAAGACTGGCTTAGTGAGCGTTTAATAAATGTTTTTTGAATCAGTGAATAGGGCACCTTTGTTATTCTTATCAGCTGTCCAGCATCTGAACTGCCCTCTTACATTTCATCCATCCCAGTGAAACATTCCAGATAACCTCGTTCTCACTTCCTATAGCTAGGGCATAGGACATAACTGCTAATGAGATCCACCTATCCCCGATTTTAAATCAGAAACTAGTGATTCAAAGGGGCCAGGAACACACAGGGTCCCTTCTGGTGAGGGTGGGACCCCTACATGCAGTTCCGGAGGCAGCATGCTGTGATGGTAGTGAGGCAGAAAATCAAGTTCCCTTTATTAGTAGAGCTAATTAGTAGTACCTGAAACCCCAATAAAAAGTTCTCTGACAGTTTGGTTGGCGTGGCTCAGTGGTTGAGCATCAACCTATGAACCAGGAGATCACGGTTTGATTCCTGGTTGGGGCACATGCCCAGGTTGTGGGTTCAACCCCCAGTGTGGGGCAAGCAGGAGGTAGCCGATCAATGATTCTCTTTCATCATTGATGTTTCTATCTTTCTCCCTCTCTCTCCCTCTCTGAAATCAATTTTATATATATATATATATATATAAAGTTCTCTGACAAAGATCCAACATGGTACTCAGTCAAAAAGTGATGAAGAAATGGGTCTGTCTCAGTCCCTAAACTCAAACTAAAATCTTACCAGCAGTAGAAAAGTAAACTGGAGAGGGCACAGGTGGGGGTAGCCTCCTCACATGCAGAAGTGGCCCCGGCCTCCTGACCAGTCCAAGACCCTGGAAAGAAGAAGGCAGAAGAGGGACCACAGTTCAAGGCAGACTTCATGAACAGCAACTTCAGCCACTAGTAAATAGGGTGGTCCTTAGAATCTAATATGATTAGCCATTCTCCCTACCTCAGGGGGCTTGGAGGAGGAGCAAAGAGAAGTGAGGGAAGGAGCAGAGACCTTGAGTATTCGTTCCTAGAAATTTACAATAATTATTAATGAAGGTCAATGTTTTACTCTAAGCCCTTGCTTTAAGTCAGTGCATTAAGGTGGTTTGGTAAAGGAACTCATTAGCACATAGGCATTAATTTAACTTTTTGGAGGTGAGGACTAACATCTGGGACCTACCAACCAAATGCCCACTTCTGGAGAGTGACAAAGAGCAGAAGAGGAGGAGAAAAATCAGGAGAGAGCAGGGTCAGGAAGGAAAGAATTCCAAAAAGGAAATGGTGATCAGTATCAAGCTGTGAAGGTTAACATAAGGACTAAAATTTGGCAATTAGAAGTCACTGGTGAACCCAGCAAGAACAAGTTTAGTGGTGATGAGGGGAGTGGCCGGGCTTGCCCATCTGCACGTTGCTTTAAAAGCCTGGAGCCTGTCCCCATCCCCACGTAACTGGGCTGATTCAGTTGAGGGGGGCGGGGGGGATTAGGATTTTTAAAAAATCCCCCCAGGCCATACTAATGCGCAGCCAGGGTTAAAAACTACTGCTTCAGTGAATTGAGAATTCAGGGACAAAAGTACAAGCGAGGGCAGTACTTTAGTGATGGTCAAGGGGTTCAAAGAGTTAAGGAAGGGTATTTTTGTTTGAAGATGGAGTCTGAACATGTTTGAACGCAACACTGTATGTGCCAGGAGTGAGCACTGCAGCTAGACGGAGCGACAGGGGAGGGACCTAGGGCACTGCAGAGGGATCGTCTTGAGCAGGGCAGGTGAGGGTGTATGTGAGGGTGTGACTTGGGGACTCCTTTCTAATGCTCTGTTACCTGTAAAGGGAGCGATAGATGAGCTGCTGAGTTGAGAGGAGGGGGTAGAAATTTTTTAAATGGCCACAGTTTGCAATAGCTGCTGCTAACAGGTGGGAGGCTGAGTGAGCTAAATACTGAGAGCCATTCAAAGTGTCAGCAAGATTTCGGTGTGGTAGAAGCTTGCACAGTCATGACAATTTTTCATGGAGAAATACATGGCCCACGGGAAAGAGCAAGCTACAGAATCTACTCACAGTGAAATGGGTTGATTTAAGTCAAAGCCACCACGCCATTCTTAAGTTCTCTGATATTCTCCTTCCTTTTTCAATTAAAAACATTGAATGGGAGAGCTGCAAGGGTCAGAACTCACTTCTAGAGAAGAAAACACATTAATTTTCATAATTTATATCTTAACTATTTTATATTCCCACATCTTGATAATATCTAGAAAAAATTTTTGGCTTGAGGTTCTTTTAAATGGTTTTCAAGATAGAAAAGGCAAATTATATGGTGCTTTAAAAGGCTATAAAAATTGAAATGTAAACAGCCTACACATGTATATTAATCATGGTTTTTAATTTTCTGTGAATTATGTCGTCTTGACACTTTAAGAAACCTTTCTGGCTGGGGAGAGACTGCTTCTCCTAGGGCTAGCCAGTTCTTAGAAAGAGCAAAGGATTCAGCCAGCAGCACACTTTTGAAGTACAAACTTACCAGGGATGACGGAGCCATGCCTCCTCCATCTGACCCGTACACCCCAGGAAGCAAACATCCCAGGGAGCTATGAGGCAACTAGAGGCCACTCTGTAGCCCAAAGGACCCCAATTACCCAAACTAGCCATTCCTGAGCTGTCTGCCCTCTCTGCCTTGCCTTTCAGGAGGAAACCCCCATAAAGGCTCTGGCCCACACCTATCATTTGCTCCTGGTCCTCTGCTTCCTGTTCCAAATCTGGTGTTTGTCCTGTGGCCTGGCATGGCAAGTTGTGCATTGTTTCTAGGTAAACTATAACATTAAACTTTTCTTTCAATGGTATTGACCTCTACATGTCCTCACTCAGTCACCTTTATAAACTTTTAAAAAATTATTTCAGAGAGGAAAGGAGATAGAAATATCAATGATGAGAATCATTAATCAGCTGCCTCCTGCACACCCCACACTGGGGATCAAGCCCACAACCCGGGCATGTGCCCCAACCAGGAATCAATCCATGACCTTCTGGTTCATAGGTCAATGCTCAACCACTGAGCCACGCCAGCCGGGCAGTCACCTTTATAAATTAAGACCTGGCCACAGAACCACATGAGCATCCAAGGCAATGAGACTAGACTCCTCCTCCTCCCAAGAGAAGTTGGGTTCGTAAGCTTTAGTAGTCAATTAGGGCCCAGCCCAATTCATACAAATAAAATCTAAAGGAAAAAAAAATGGTCATTTCAAAACTTTTAAGATTAAAGTTCTGTATTCTGAAACACTGAACCCATGAGTCAGACAATCTGTATATAACATGCTGTTGGTCCTCAACCCCTGTAGACGCACTGCTTGAAATGTAAGACAATAGGATGTGATTATGTGGGATAACTGAAAATTGATTTTTACATGTTGTGAATGCAGGGATTAAGTCCTAGCAAAAGATTACTGACAACTCAACAGGTATTTACTACAAAAGCTATGTCCTCAGGGTGTTTTTCTTCCAACTTCTTTTCTGTTTGTTTCACATTTGTGAGTCATGCTTTAAAGGCTTCAGCATGGTGACGCTGGAAAACACAACATTTTCCCATGAAACTAAGAGACAATGAACAAGAATCATAGTCATGAATGGCAGTATCTTACACAAATGTTTTACTGTTGTGAAAAATGACTCTCACTCACAGACTAAAAATTCATGGTTATATTTTAATCCACTTATATTTTAAAACATTGTTTCCATCCATCTAAATTTGGCCTTGATGGCATTTTTCTCCACATTATCCTTTCTCAATATTTCCAGGTGATTTTTCAGGAGCTTGAGGGAAAGGGTATGGGAAAAAAGACATTAACAGTGGCTGCAAAATATCACATACAAAAAAATCTCATTACTTTTTAAATCCTCACCTGAGGATGTTTCTGTTATTGATTTTAGAGAGGGAGAGAGAAACATTAATTGGTTGCCTCCTGTACATGCCCCAACCAGGGATCAAACCCTCAACCTGGGTATGATGTTTTGACATCTTAAGAAACCTTTCTGGCTGGGGAGAGACTGCTCCTGCCAGGGCTAGCCAATTCTTAGAAATAGAATTGATTTCTAGAGTTTTGATGCCCTTGACCCGGAAACAAACCCGCCAGTAAGGTACAACACTCCAAAAACCTGAACTACCCGGCCAGGGCAACATCTCTCTTCTTATGGAGAGTAATATAAGAATACCTCAGAGCTCAGGAGGTTACCAGAATATTAAGTTTTTAACTGGCAAATCGTGTGGCTCTCAAACACCAACCTGCACCAGAGTCCCCTGGAGAGCTTGTAAAAGGTTGCTGTTCCCACCCTGTTTCAGATTTAGTGGGGGAGACTGAGCTGATGCTGTTGGTCCAGGCAGGCCAGCACACTACCGTAAGCACCTACCCCCCTTCCCCTCGCCTTCTCACTTCGGACCTTGCCAAGACTGCTCCATGGTGAACATCCTTAGGACATGCCCCACTCTTCAATACTGTGCTTTTAAGTTTTTTTTATCCCCAAATTTGGCAATTTCACCAAGTGCCTGTCTATAGATAGTGGCAGGAAATTTTCTTCTTAGTCACGTTTGTTTTGCTGGGCTTGTTAAAAACCTTATAATCCACACTTCTGAGCAATATCACTCCTTTTCCTTGGTACTGTTCAATGCTGCTGCTCCCAGGCATTTGACATTCATCTGTTTTAACATAAGCGAAAGCACCTCTGGGCCACTGTGTGTTGGTGCTAATAGAGGAACCCACCACTTTCCTCACCTCTTCCCTCTTTACCAGTGTCTCATTGGGTAGGATCCCCTCTTGATTGCTGCCACCATCAGTAACTCCACTGTCAAGACTGGAGTGGGAGATAAGGAAATACTGATAAGTAAAATGGACAGCTCGAGCATTAGCAAAGGAAGCAGCTGACAGCAAGCGCAAACCGCTTCTATCATCCCTCCTGCCATCCCTGAACCATGACACAGGTCCTGCAAGCCATGCCCCTAACTAGACTACATTCATAGCTGCCAGGGTAAGCCACGCTGCTCTCATCCCAGCCCAGATAGAGCTCACCAGACACAGAATACTGACTATGGCCCCTAATGCTGTTTTTACAAAGCCCAGCGAACAAAACACATATGGCTCAGAAGCACGTCAACAGTGCCAGTGCCGGCCTAGCTCCCTTCTCTGAGCGACTTCTGTGATAACTGCCCCTTTCCTTTGCAGCGTCAGACTCCCACTGCTGTGGTCTCAACTGTGTTTCTGATTCTAAAATGCAAAGATGTGTCAGATTAATCTACTTGGGACTCATAAAGAATTTCATTCCCTGTTCTATGTGTGGAGTTTTAGTTACCAAAGATGCCATAAGCAGCACAGGTTAGATTTATTTAAGCTTTTGGTCATTTTGCTGCCTAACTGGCCTTGTTTGCAGCCTGTTTCACAACCCAGCAAAACAATGCATTTGATTTCTAAAGAATTCAAGTTAAAAGCACACACCATCAAATACCATAATCTGTCCCCAAATTTGGCACCATTTAATCTGCTACTAATTTCCTCTTCTGAACAGTTCTTATCAAAAAGCAACAAGAATTGTGATGCAAATGAAGTTGTTTCCTTTAAAATACTGCATCTGAAAAATAATCTTAAATTCCCTTAAACTCATAAGCAAAACTAACTTTTACGAATGACAGTAGTAGATGATGTCTTGAGTTTTGCCTATTTGGAAAATACACAGGATTAGGATTCAGACAGGCAGATGTGTAGACAGTTGGGACAATCCAGAACCCTGAAATAAGAACATGGAACTCAGCCTGTTACTACTTTCAAGCAGATAAAATACATGTAAGCTCAAGGATTAACCTCAAAGGAATTATTTTTTAACAAACTACAAAACCTGATTTTGAAATTATATATTTTGTTAAAAGATAACAGACTTTTCTTAATTTATGACATTATATAGTTTGCTATATAAAAAAGACTTAAAATTTAAGGTTCAAAATACTCGTTTCTAAGGTTCCTCTGAAATTGACTCATACAGAAAACCAGAATAAGTTAGCAATTCTGTAAGCAGGCTCATGTAGCAGCTTACAAGAACACAATTTAAAAACTTGTGTTGCAAAGTACTAATGTGCTTAAATTGCTATTTTCTTAGGCAATTAATTTTCTTCCCCAATTATTATAGGTAGATATGACATTTTTTGGTGATCCCTGTTGAAGGTATTTGAAATATGTAGAAAAGCATGCCCAAGAAAGATGATAAACATTCATGGCATACTGCTTCCTCTCTCTCTTTCTCTCTCTATTGTATTATTAATTTTTTTGGTGGAAACAGAATTTATTGAGGGATAAAAGAACTGCCAGCCACAGGGAGAGAACAAGCAGGGGGACCCAAGTGGGCTACCCCATCACATACTGTTTTCAAAAATATGGGTCTCAGAGCGACTCAAGTCTCTCAATGACAAACAAGAGATTAAAACCCAGGGCAGAGAAAGTCCGAAAGTCTGGGATTTTAATACTGGCTTGATTATGTGATTTTGAGCAAATCACTAAACTGTGATTGCTCTTGTCTCTGTAAAATGGCAGCAGTCACCTGCCTTTACATCATAAAGATGTTTAAAATGTAAAGTTGTATATATGTTACTTTTTAGTTACAGGTAGAAAGGAGAACTGTCAGACAACATGCCATGAAGAAAAGATTCTACCTGAAGGTCTTACTAGGCTATGCTCACAGGACCAATCTCTGCATGAGCCACAAAGCTTAGTGCAAAGAAAATGAAATTATGTCCAAGGATTTCTCCCTCAAATCCAAAAAAGTATGTTAGAAGTGTGTGCCTCGGGACACTATGGGGACAACTAGGTAAGAATGCACCTATGACAATAAGACCCACTTTCACCACTAAATAATTCAGTCGTGCTATATTGTATTCAACAGACATTCCACCTTCTCCATGGCTGGGGTGCAGCCTGCAGGGGGCAGTACACTCCCCACCACATGAGAACAGGGATGCTGCGTTGGCTTCAGCACTGCTCCTTACCCCACAATCTCCATGTACCTTCCCTCCACCCTATTCCTTGTTAGGGACAATTGACATGGTGTCAATCTTACATAAAGTGCCACATAAACTTAGCTTAAGTCCCCTCCTCAACTAGACTCACACCAACCCCTCAGATGAGGAAATCCTGGAGCTACCACTGACAAGAGCTGTAATTTTTAGGGGGAACACGATAAAGCAGCCTGCCATCATCTGCCCCTCAGGGAGAGGAAGCTCTGTTCCACTCAGCACCTAATGAAGCATAGAGAAGTCCAGGTGCAAGAGCGGGCATCCCCTAGAACAGTGCCAGAGCAGTGGCACTTAGAGACCAGTGTCTGTGTATTTCAGAGTAAATGTACTAAATTTGTAAAAAGCAAGAACCCTTCTATCAACCAGGGCCCTGAATGCAAGACGCTGGGTAATCTTTTCTTTAGAAAGGGTGGCTTCCTCCAGCAGCTCTAGGCAGTCACTTATTCCTCATCTTGACAAAAGAGCATCAACTTCAGGCATGGATGTGTACATAACTCTACAGGCAGCTTAGCTGTCATACACATGGCAAATATAAAGGCATGTCAAAAGACATTTTTCCTCCCCAAAGTATAACCCCAAGAAGCCATTATAATAGAGTATGAATATCTGCTGCAGGTTATTGACCTGTAAACTAACAATAAAATCCCGTTTAGTATGTAAAGGCTTACACTGCAACATGAAGTATTAAGACACAAACCACTGACTATTCTAAGTTTGCTGTACAGTTGAACCATCTTCATTACCTCACTCTGTGTGTGTGTGTGTGTGTGTGTGTGTGTGTGTGTGTGTGTAAAATGTCCTCTTTCCATAGAACACCAACTTTGGAGATGAGGCAAAGTACAAAGCAGCTGCCGGTGATCCCATGGGCATCTAGGAGACTGGAAGGAGTCCCCAATCCCTGCTGCTGGTGTCGCTTCTGAGGCGCCAAACTGAGACCTAGGTGGATTTATCTGATTGGCACTGTGAGTAAAGCAAGGCCAGGCTGAAAGGCAAGCCTTACCTACTGCAAGCACAATTCCACACACAGATCTTAACTCAGTGTTTAAATGTGACTGGAACTGCCTGCAAATTGGGAACTTCCTCAAGTGGTATTAAAAGCTCTACACAAGAAGTATGCAAAGAAGTTACTAGTTGTTCAAGAAAAAAAAAAAGACACACCTGCAAAAAAGCAACAGCTCTGTAAATGGAGCTGTAGGTAACTGCTGAGACAGCAATAGCAATAACAAATATAGCATAGGATGACTTTTTAAAACAACTGCTGCCCCAATACTTTACTTTTTAAAAAAGACACACATTTCCACAATATGATTTTCTAAGAGAAAGAGTCCACTGCTTTGTTTGAAGAGGAAGGAGCCAGTCCTAGTGATAAACAGACTGGGAATATCAATTGAAATATGCAAGACTATATAACACAAAATCTAATATTTGTTTCACAACACCCGCTGGCTCCTGGTGGGCGAACTACTGCTCTCTAGCTGCATCCAGGGCTCTTTTCTTGTGGCATCTTAAAAAATGTGGCTGCAGCTGAACCGGCGGCTTTCTCTGGGGCAGAGGTCCTGACCAGCCACTCAGTGTTGGGAGATTTCGGGGCCTGTGGCGCTGGTGTGGTTGGCTCCATCACATCCACAGGAACTGATGAGATTGCTACAGTAAAAGGAAAAAGAGAAAAAATCCAGGGGAGACAAATTAGAATGAACGTTACTTCAACCCAAAATATTCTTAATCCTTTTATCTTATGCCCTACTAACCCAAGTGGGCACATAAGGTTTTTCTTTTTTCTTTACAAAGAAATAAAGGCCAGATGTAACAAAGGTAAGTATTTCTCTACCTGAAAAAATGGGTTTAAATGAACAAGTAAGCAAATTCAGTAATACAAATTCATAATGTAGTAACTATCACTTCTTAAGCACTTATGTGCTAGGCACTGTATTATGTAAACACTGCATTCATATCTCATTTCTTGCAAACTCGTAGAAGTAGGTATTTTCTGGATCAAAAAAATGAGCCATACAGAGAGCAGATAAATTTTTCAGGGACAAAACAGAGCTGGTTAAGTAGCAAGATTCAAACTCAGTGGACTCTAAGCCCTATGTTCCTTCTGTCACACTCCATGACAATGTCACCAAAAAACAGTGTGATAATAAGGAAAATGGTAGAAAATCACACAATCAGGCCCAGTTTTTCAACAAGAACACAAACACATTCTAGACAGAATAATAATTGCTTATGCAGGACTGTCCTGTATATTTTAGGACACTTACCATTCTGACCCCATCTACTGAATGCTATCTGCTGGTCCCTGGGACAAGTAAACACTGTCTTCACATTTCCAAATGCCCCCAAGCAGACTAAACCACCTTCACACCCACTGTGCCAATGGTAAATATACACTAACAAAAAGCAAAATGTACAAAGTTCCGTTTTTACCCTACCACTCAGTAACTCCACTCCTGGAAAGTAATCTAGAACAGTAATTTTCAAATTGTGGTCACAAGATCAACTTAGTAGGTCATGACCAGTACTTTTTCTTCTTAATGAAAAGGAATAAAAAATATCAGATTGTATCCAAGGATTTATATATAGACTAGAGGCCCGATGCACGAAAATTGTGCAAGGGGCTCAGCCCTCACAGCCCTGGCTTCGTCTGGAAGGTCATCCAGAAGATCATTTGGTTGTCCAGTCTAATTAACATATTACGCTTTTATTATTATACTAGTAGCCCATAGCGCAGTATCGCACGCAGTAGGCCGCCCACTGCTCTGTGGGAGCTGGCGGGAACTGCAGCGCACCACTGGGAGCCGCGCTGCTTCCATGGGAGCCGTGCAGCTTCCGTAGGAGGTGGAAGCGAGCCACCGGCGCCCATGGGAACCAGGAGGGAGCCGCGCTGCTTCCGCGCAAGGCGGGCCTGCCATCTCCTCTCCAAGCCTGCACTCAGCGTGGAGGCTGCAGGCCGGGCCCCCGTCCCTGTCCGTGTCCGTGTCTGCTCCAGCTCCGGGGGGCCAGCCCAAGCCAGAGTGTGGCAGTTCACTGGCCCCGTGTCTCTGTCTCCTTCTCTGTCTCCGCTCCAGGCCTCACCTACACGCACAACCTCCTCCTGTCTGGTCGTGACCCATTACGGCGTCCTGGCCTAATTTGCATATTTCCTTTTTTTATATATAGATATAGATATATACTAGTGACCCATCGTGTGAGACCCGGACCCGCGGGAAATCGCACAAGACCCAGGACCCCAGACCCTGCCGCAGGACCCAGAGTCAAGTCCCGCAGCGCATGGGACCCAGAGTCAAGTCCCCACCCATCCGCGTGCGCCTCGCCGAACATGCAGCCTCCTGGTGACCTTTGGTCTATATATATATATATATATATATATATATATATATATATATGCCCACATATATACTCAAACATGAATTTCTTACAGGGAGTTACTGTAAAAATAATCGTGCAAGCTATTACTCTATGGCACATGTACAAGAGTTTCTTGAGGGCCGTGGTTTTCAATGTTTTAGAATCTCAGATCACATCAGCAAGAAACACATTTGACATCACAACACAAATCAATCAATCCAATCTCTCTCTTTCTCTCTCTCGTGTTCACACACACACTCACTCATTTAACTGAAATTTCACAAACCTATATTTACCATTACTCTATAGTCATTAACCACAGTGCAAAACCCTTCCCTAGAAAAACTTTTTCTTTGCTATATGGCTTTTATTATGGCAAAATATATGTAACATAAAATTTATCATTTTAATAATTTTTAAGCATACAGTTCAGTGGCATTAAGTACATTTACATTATTTCACAACCATCACCACCATCCATCTCCAAAACTTTTTCATCATCCTAAATGAAAACTCTCCATTTTCCCCTCCCCCAGCCCCTGGCAACTACCATTCTACTTCCTGTTCCCATAAATTGACTATTCTAGGTACCTCACATAACTGGAATCATATAATATTTGTCCTTTTGTGTCTGGCTTATTTCACTTAGCGTAATGTCTTCATCCATGCTGCAGCATGTATCAGAATTTCATTCTGAATCACAAAGGCACTCAGGCTGAATAGTATTCCATTGTATACAGAATATACCACATTTTGCTTATTTATTCATCCAGCAATGAACATTTGAGTTGTTTCCACCTTTTGGTTATTGTGAATAATGCTGTTAGTACACGAGTGTACAGATAGCTATCTGTTTGAATACTTTCAATTCTTTCAGGTATAATATACACAGAAGCAGAATTGCTAGATCATATGTTAGTTTTATGTTTAGATTTTTTTTTAACAGTACAGAGGTCTTTTATTTTTTTGCACTTGTCATGCCTTGAATTCATAGGGGATGGGTCCCAGCAGCTCAGGCTCCTTTCCACTGGTTCTCACAAAGTGCTTCTCTGGGTGGAGCAGGCTGGCGCTTCAGCTGAACCCAGGAACCTTTCACTTTGTCTTCCTTCTTTTTCTGACCATTTTCCTTCACACGTTTCAGAAAGCTATCTCAGCTTTTAGAGTGCTTTATATACTCCATATGTACATTAATTCTCTGGGCAAGAATCTTGCCCTTGTTTGTTTACAACAATGCCCACCGCAGGCTGGGTAACTGTAGACTCCTCCAGTTTTGCCACGGTAACATTTGTGAGACATTCCTTTTTGAACAGTGTCCATTCCTTTGATGGCTGCAATATCACCTTTCTTGTAGATTCACCTGTATGAGGCCAGAGGAACAGCTCCATGTTTTCTAAAAGGCCTAGAGAACATATAGGGGATGCCTCTCCTCTTCCCCTTTGTGTTAGTCATTTTAGTGAATTATTGGAAGACTAGTGACCCAGTGAACAGATTAGTGCACATTGAAAGGAAATTAATTAGAAGGTGGCCCGCAGGGTGAGCCTGGGCGAGAAGGGCCAGACATGCCCTGGAGCCAACCTCCCGCGGGCCCTCCCTGGCATCTGCAGAGTGAGCGGGGTCCCTCCGGCAGGTGGGGTCCCTTGGCCTGGCCTGCGGGGATCGGGCTGAAACCGGCTCTCTGACATCTCCCGAGGGGTTCCGGAGTGCGAGAGGGCACTCTGCAAAGTTGCTGTGGTACAGGGTGTGGAATGCAAACGCAAGTGTGCAGTAAACCAGATTCGGGCCAACAGTGCCCCAGCAACAACATAACCCACGGCTGAAGGTGGAATCACACATCCCCGAGAGGATTCGGGCTCCCTTCTCTCTGGTTTCGGGGTGCATCACCCGAGAACTGCCGGTGCTGCTGCCAAGTCACTGCAGCTCAGCAGCTCCTGTGTTGAGCGTCTGCCCCCTGGTGGTCAGTGCATGTTACAGCGACCGGTCGGACACTTAGCATATTAGCCTTTTATATATAGAGGTGGTAGTTCTGACCAAAAAAGTTATGTTTAGATTTTTGAGGAACCACCTTCCCTAGCGACTGCACTATTTTACATTCCCATCAGTAATCACAAAGGGATTACTTGCTGTTCCTGTTTGGTTTTGTTTTCTATATAGCCATCCTAAGGAGTATGAAGTGGCCCAGAAAAAAAACTCTTGCACATGTTCTCTCACACAGCAACAGTGTTTTTCACAATAGCATAAAATGGATACAATCCAAATGTCCATCAAGAATGTTTAATTGTAGTATATTCATCATATTCATGTAATAGAATACCATATATATGGCAGGATGAAACATGAATGAATCTCAAGAACATAATTGGGTAAAACTTGTAACTTATAAAATATGACATTCCATTTAAAAAAAGATTTAAAACATGCAAAACTAGATAATGTATTATTTAGGGATACATATGTTTTAAAACTAACTTAAAAATCAAAGAATGATTAAGTGATTAACAAAAAATAAATAACAGGATAATGGTTACCTCTGAGGAGAGTAGAAAAAGATTTTTAAAGGGGATGTTCTTTTTCTTAAAGTCGATGGTGGGTACATGGATATTCGCTATATCATTTTTCTTTACTCCTTATATACCTTCTATAAGTGCTCTTTTATAGCCATTCAATATTTTCTAAAAAAATTTTTTAACTTTAAAAACCATTTAAACTTTAAAAAGGCATAGTGAGCAGTAAGAATCTGTCCTATGGCTCCCAAGACAAGAGTGAACCTAAAATAAAACTACTGAATCCAATCACTGGATTAGCATAATATTGAGAATAACTATTTCAACTAATAGATTCTGTTCACATATTCATACAACAAATATCTAGTGAGGTTGTTCCATGTGCTGAGTATTATTTTAGAGGGTGGGGGTACAATAGCAGCAAAAGAGATAAAAATGCCTGCCCTTGCACCTACATCTCCCACATCGCTGGCCTGATATTCAGAATCTGATGTAACTAACAGGTTAACTATTGGTTACCCTTCTGACTAATGCTCCAAGGACACCCATCCTATCCCAGAGACACAAAAGTCAGAACAGGCTTTGGGATGGCAAAATAGTCAGGGCTCTGAATACAACATCTTGTCATCCTGTTCTCCTTTACCTAGAGCCATGTGCTTACTTTGTGAAGGTACGGGATTTGTACACCAAAGGCTCTGCTCTGCCATTCTGATGAAGAAAATCATTTCGAAGAAATGAAGTCTGGTTTTTATCTGAGTTCCTTATGTTTTTTATAGCAACTTAATCTCAAGTTTTAGAGAAAATAACCAATTTTTTCTTTTCCAGTTATATTCTCTTTTTTTGTTTGTTAATCCTTACCCAAGGATATTTCTCCATTGATTTTTTTTAGAGAAAGTGGGAGGGGGAGAGACACAGAGAGAGAAATATCAATGTAGGAGAGACACATCAATTGGTTGCCTCCCACACGTGCCCCGACCAAGGTCAGGGATTGAGCCTGCAACAGAGGTACATGCCTTTGACTAGAATTGAACCTGGGACCCTTCAGTCTGCAGGCCAACTTTCTATCCACTGAACCAAACTGGCAGGGGCTCAGTTACATTCTTTAAGAGAATATACAGCAAATTCACTTTGGCAGGAGGTAATGACATGTTGGGTATTTCCTGTTCTGGTGTTCTGGGCTTTAAGAGCATGTTTATACGGTCACTCACTCAGATCCATGGTGGCTCTGTGCACCACGCACCTGTGGTTATAAAGCCAGAAAGAGAAAGGGAGTGGACATTAAAAGAGGAAAATAAAAGTGCTACACTTTCAAGAAGGATCTACTCAATGATCCTATGAAAAGGTCCTTTTCCTTGGCCTTTTGTTAATACTAGTACAAAAAGGCAAGGCACGCTAGTCCTTTCTGCTCTGCACCTCTCTAGCCTTATTAATATCTTTAAATTCTGTCAATTTCAACTCAAAACTTCCCACCAGTGGGGGAGGGGAAATGGGGAAAGATTTGTGGCTGCATGTTTAAGAAAGAAGTTGAATTCATCACAGTGACAGGGGAGACTGTTGGCAGAGATCTGAGCTATTTATTCTTTTAGGAAAATCCTATAAAGAATGACACAAGGAAGCCTCTATCTGCAGTCTTGTTCATCACACTGGTGAAGAATCCGATAACAGATGTATGCAGCAGCGTGATTTAGTGCCAGGAGCTGGCCCCTGATGTGTATTAATACAGCGGCAAAGCGGAACGCACCTCTCTTCATCAGTCATTTCTATAAAAGAGGTGGAATCCGAGATGGCCCAATGTTAGGCAGAGCAAGCCCATTTGTTCTACTGACTGATGGCGCGGGCTCGGGCTATGTCCTTCACCTCCATGGGGCACTCAGGTTGTGGATAGAAAAAAAAGGAAATGTTCAGTGAAGCAAGCCTTAGTCAACAAGTGAGGGGAGGAGTTTGGATCAGTGAGGGAAATTTTTAATGCTCAAATCTTGTTTAATACCTCCCAGAAAATTTCCCAATTTGAATATAGAATAAGGATTTTAAACTCTTCTCAATGTTTTCTTATAAACAAATAAAAGCAAAAAAACAGAAGCTGGACATTAAAGAGAAAAAAAGAACAAAAAGATAAAAGAGGGGAGACTGTGTTTTAATGCTTCCAATACCACAGACTGGATGAAGACCTGGGTTTTGAGCAGAGTCATAATTTGGAGCCAATCCTATCCTATGGAAGACCTAAGAGTGCAGCCCTAGAGTCACAGGGAAACCAGTCTGACCATGGCTCTGCAATGTGCCAACCATGTGACCCTGGGGAACTGATTAACCTCTCTACGGCTCAAATATCTCATGTGTATTGGGAATAAAAACAGCATCCACCTTATAAAGTTGTTGCAAACATTAAGTGAGATAATGTATGCAAAGGGTTTAGCTTAAAACATGGCTATGTGGAAATCACTAAAAAAATTTACTATAGTCATTAGACCTGTGATTAAGATTATCCATTATCATGACAATCTTAGTCTGAACCAGTATCAAGCAGTCTTCTCAAACAGAAGCTGCCGGTTTGGCTCAGTGGATAAAGCCTCGGCCTGGGGACCAAAGGGTCCAGGTTCAATTCTAGTCAAGGTCACATACCTTGGTTATAGGCTCCTCCCCAGCCCAGGCCCTGGTCAGGCCTCGGGCAAGAGGCAACCAATCGATGTGTTTCTCTCACATCGATGCTTCTCTCTGTCTTTCCTTCTCTTCCAGTCTCTCTAAAAGATCAATGGAAAAATATCCTCGGGTGAGGATTAATAACAACAAAACAAAAACGTCAAACATAAGCTTGAAGAGGTCAATTTCAGAGCATGCTGAAATTCACTAAGTAAAGTTAGGGGAAAGACTTCCCCATCTGTCAAAGTTCTACTCTCTATTCAACTATCAATAGCTCTGCTCTATGTACAATATACATAAATATGTATTTTATTATAATATATAGTCTTTTCTGAAGAAAATAAAATAGTTTATGATATACTCAATTTCCGCAAAACAAATTCATTATCATCAAGAAAAGAACTGTAGGTGGTTACCAGAGAAGGGGACTGGGGATAGGTAAAAAGGGGAGGGAGCGAACTATATGGTGATAGATAATAACTAGACTTTTTGGGGTGGACACTTTATATTGTATATAGACATCAAATTATAATATTGTACACCTGAAACTTACATAATAAAAAGACAAAAACAAAAACAAACGAAGTGTAGGTATTTCCGATAGGTCCTATAACCAGATATGATCTTTTTATTCAGAGTAATTCATCCTAAATTGTATTGAAATAACCTAAAGGATTGTCTATGATTACTAATTACATTTAACTATTTTCTCTGAACTCCAAAGAAAAAGATCTATAGACATCCAATATTCTTGCTGATATAAATAACTATCCCCCTTTGTTTTCATTTAAGGATAACACAGATGAAGTTAAGTGCATAAATCATAAATGTATGTAGTTCAGTGAATCTTTACATATAAATATACTCATGTAATCCCCACCTAGTTCATGATATAGAACATTTCCAGCATCCATGAGATTTTTTAGGTCTTCTCCTGGTCACCAGTGAAAACCACTATTTTGGTTTCTACCAACTAGTTTTGCTCAGAAAATGAAAAGTTTTTAACTTGAAAAGCTGTTTTTAATTACGAATTTCATGATAGATAAAATATTAGCACTCTATTATATATAAAAACAGTGAGAATGTACTGTACTATGTACTAAATTAAAAAGTAAATAAACTCATGTGGCTCCTTGTCTACTGACTAAACTGCCACCCTACTGGGATTTTCATTAACAAAGATCTAATTTCTTATCTGTAATAGAAAAAAAGCACAGATGACTGAAGATTATTTTTAGTGAAATATAGGGATTCAAACTTAAGAAACCCGTGTGACACAGTGAAAAAACAGACTTCAGGGTCAGACAAAACTAGGTTTAAATTCTTAAAATATGTGTAACCTTGGGAAATTACTTCTTTTTTTAAAAAAATATATTTTATTGATTTTTTACAGAAAGGAAGGGAGAGAGATAGAGTGTCAGAAACATCGATGAGAGAGAAACATCCATCAGCTGCCTCCTGCACATCTCCTACTGGGGATGTGCCTGCAACCCAGGTACAAGCCCTTGACCGGAATCGAACCTGGGACCTTTCAGTTCGCAGGACGACGCTCTATCCACTGAGCCAAACCAGTTTTGGCAGGAAATTACTTCTTTAGAGACCATTATAAACTTTTGAACAATAATAGATACAGAGGCAGAGCTGCCTCAAACAGATTGTCAAACTGCAGCAGGAAGGCCGGGGAGGGTTGGGGGGCAGGAGGTAGGGGGGTAAGAGATCAACTAAAGGACTTGTATGCATGCATATAAGCATAACCAGTGGACATAAGACATTGGGGGATAGGGGAGGCTAGGGGACTGTCTAGGGCGGGGGTATAAAATGGACACATATGTAATACCCTTTGTAATACTTTAAGCAATAAAAAAAAAAAAAAAAAAAAAAGAAATTACTTATTGCATTCTCTGTTTTCCCACATAAAATGGGAATAAAATGACCTACCTCATCCTAAAAGTTAAGTGGAAAGGTATATAAAACACATAATTCAGTGTCAGCTGCTCAACAAATAATAACTAGGGTCTAATTACCTGCATTTGGGCTAGACAGAGATGCTGTGGCCACAGGCTTTCGTTTCCTCTTGATATCACGTGAGCATGGGGGTCCCAAGTGTAAGCTTGCCTGTCTGCCGAGGTAACAAAGAAAACATACTGTTTCAACTTTATAATTCTCATTGTTTAAGACACTATGTTCAACCCAGATAAAATCTTTGGCCCAATATAGATATACTAACAAAATCAGCATCATCTTTTGCCATCAAGTGTCAGTATAAGATCATTCACAATTAATCAGAATTCACTCTTTACTCACAAAATACACCCATTCTAAACTTTTTACCTGATTAGCAAAATAGTAGACATTCAAGATTAATTTCAGTAAATATGTTTCATTACATGCTGATTTTTGTACATTTTTCATAAAAACAATAAACCTCAATTGTTCTAAACTCACTAATGAAATACCTACTCCCAAGTGGTAACATATTGAAAAGTTTAATGCTGCATGAACACAGACATTTGCATAGAATTATAATAGGAAGTTTAACCCTTCTATCGCTATACATCCATATTTTTAATAATGTCTGCATAGCAAGTTGTTTCTGTGATTTTAAAAAATATAAATTATGTGCTAATAATATGTCCCCTTTCCGAATGTTCAGCTTATTTTAAAAACAAAATAGTGAGAATTTCAACATTAGAAAAGCATAAGATTCTCTGAAAGACAATGGGCTATTTTAGTTCCCCACTTCCTCCTTCCTCTCAAACTAGATGTATATTATGTGATTCAGACCAAGCTGAGTTTCATCTTTACACAAAGTTTTCCTTGAGCATTCAAGGCCTTGCCTACCATGAATTATTATTTAACTGCTGTACATGTATCTTGTTTCCCTAATGAGGCTTAATCTTCTTGAGAACAGGGACCATATTTGTGTTTCTTTCATAATTTTCCAATGTTCTACCAACCTCAGAAGGCGCACAGCTGACCCCCATTAAGTATCTGTTGACTAGATCTGATATGAATGAATAAAAGTTCTAAAAACCAATAGCCAATTGTACATTTAAAATGGTAAATTTTGGTATGCAAATTTTATCACAATTTTTTAAAAATAGCCAGAATATGTAACATATAAAAAGAACTCCAGTAAAATTATACTGGATGAACTCCTAATTGGTAGTCCTAGCTGGGGATGAAGTCTCATGGCTTGGTAGTCTTGAAACTGGAATCTCAGTCAAATCTAAGAGAACCTGGTTAGCAAGGCAACAACTGTTGAATGGACAAATTTTCCAATGGGGGGAGTGGGGGTTGCCAATCTGGCAACTTTCAGTTTAAAAGTACATATATGTATGTGCTCTCGCTCCCTCCCTCCCTCCCTCCCTTCTTCTCTCCCTCTTTTTCTTTCTCACATGCTCTTTTCTCCAAATAGCAAAAGCTTAAGACCATCCAATTTTTATAAGCAAGAAAGATAAAAATTTGACTGAAATCGTAAGAAATTTTTTAGAATGCAAGGAACACAAAAATAGACAAAGATTTACACTAGAAAGCCTGTGGTTTGGCAAAGTCCATCCAAATCACTTTTTATTGATCACTGTCGTCTATATGGGAAAAAGAGTTAACTTTAGTTTAAGTATCCCATGAGTAGTTAATCCCAAAATTCCAACGTGAAATGTGTGAATGTAAGTGTGTAAAGAAGGGGAAACAATTCATCTTTCATACCTTACATAAGTCCCGGAAGTTTAAATAAGCATGCTGATTTAATAAGAAACACAGATGACAGAATGTCAAAAGTAGACAGGCCTTTAGTCTAAATGCAGAGATGGTATGGTAATTCCTTTTGAAGCCGGACAAGGGCAGAAAAGAAACTGATGCTATAAAATTTGTTTCTCCTCAAAACAGAGAAATGTACAGAATAGTTTCCATCTTTTCTACAAACAAGGTAGTTCAGCAAATTCAGACCCAAACTCAAACTGCCCAGGCACTTCGTTCTAATTCAATCCTGCTTCTCCTATCGTACTTCAGAAAGAGAAACAAGTCAAAGGGTAACAGTTCATATTCACGCACTTTCTTCTTTACCAGAAGCTCAATGTAACACCATTTCTTCAAAGTAAACATTGTTATTAGACATCAGGATGGTGGTACTTTTGAGCTGCGGGGTGTGGGGAAGAGGGTCAGTGGCTAGGAGCTTCTGGGGTTTTCTGGTAATGTTCTGTTTCTGGATGCTGAAAATTCACCAAGTATACATTTCTTTATAAAATTCTCTATATGTACATTGTTCTTCAATTAATTTTGAAAAACATTGCTTCTTCAAGATCAATGTTTATAAAATACTGGGCTTTAGGAAACAGATGCAAAATAAAAAGCCTAAGAAAAGTACTTCAAGGGCTTTAAGATTTTAATTCTCAGAGTATCAACTTGGGCTGAACTAAATAAATACTGCCTTTTATTTACACACTATTCATCATTTTCACAGTTTTGCATATTTGATATATGTCAGTAAGATGGTTAAGGGCACCTATTATATCACCACTCCTTATGGCCTTGGTCAATATCATTTATCTCACTTTTTCAAGGAATGACACATTTTGGAGTAAAAAGATAAAACGATTTATGTACCAATGTTTAAATTTTTGACCATTTTAAATAGAAATACTGTGGTTTTAAAAGATACTTATTTAAGTATGAAAATAAGTATTACTTACCTGCAACTATGCACATAGGTTATTAAACAGCACTATATTCTGCAATGTCTGTAGGGGACTGCTGTGAACACAAAGGCTCAGGTGGTCCTTATGATGCCCTGCCCCTCTGGGCCACGGTTCTTGGATCCCCACTCTTCCCTGCTCATTGATGGTACAGACTTCAGGGTTAATTGTCCTACATTAAATGCCCCTCAACTGCTAAGCCTCCAGCCTGTTACTTTTCTCTGTGGTAAATGTTCTACTTCTACCACCTCATTCCTAGTTAAGTTCTGGGGAGGGAGGAAGAGAAACAGTCAAATTATTACAGAAGGACAGTAAGACACTCCTTGTTTTGGGTTTCAAGTGGACACTAGTCATGGGAAAATCTACTTTTTTACAGGTTGGGAAAATCTACATTTCCCTGTGAGGGCTCTGTCTGCTTGGAAAAAACCTTAGAGGACTAAGAAGGAAGAGAATCCAGAGCAAGCCCGGGGAAAGCAAGGAGGAAGCTGGATGCTTGCAGCAAGAGGATTTAAAGGAGACAGGACATGGAACCCGCCACGCTGCAGAGCACATTCAGAACACAAGACAGCCCTGGTCAGGAGTAATGAACAATCTCTGTGAGGCTGGAACCTGAGCACGAGGCAGGAAACGGCTGCAGCCTCAGCTTCCTATTCAAGAGGTAGTTTCCATTTTTTGTTTATCCCAAAATAATTGCCTATCAGTCAACTGCAGACATAAAGAATCAAGAATGAGAAGGAAAAATACACTGATCTACCCATTTCACTCTGTAGTATTTAACCACCTTGGCTTCTTTTGTTTTTAATGTGTTATTTCTTTAATTTGTGTTATTTTACTCTGACAGTATCACTGTCTACTCACAAAATATAAACTGAAAAGGGCAATGAACAAGTGAGATATCACAAAAGACACAGAAAAAGAGCCTGTGCTTCTCTTTCTAAACACACAGAGCCCCTCCCTATAGGAGAAAGGGCAGATTTAACTAGATTTTTTTTTTTTTTTAAGTGTAGGTGTTATCCCTTCATGTCCTCATTCTCATCTGTCCCTTCAGAGTATATTACTTAACTCCCCTTTTCTACATGAATGTGTTCCTGCAAACAGGTCAGCCTGAGTTCTTATTTCTTCAGCTTTTGGTGTTAAGCAGCTTTTGTTAACTAGATTTTTAAAAACTCTTTTTCAAGAGCAGTGTACAGTTGTTTTTGGGTTGCAAAACGAGGTACTACATGTGGGGGGAGGGGAGCTTTCAATTATGTAGGGTGTGAAAAAAGCTAGATATAAATTAAGCTAAAATGTCTACAAATTATTAAAACTTCCTTCTCAATTGAAGCAGCAAATGTTTATCAGAATGATGTAAGAAGCTTTTAAAAAATACACAACCCCCACCATACTGGGGTGGGAGAAGAATCAGTAATATGTTTATTTTCAAATTTCTTCTCAAATACTAGTAATACCAATATGTTTCTACCCATTGTGGAAATTACTGAGTTAAAAAATATACCAAATTTCCAAAGCTAATAAGCTAATCAATAAAAGAGATCTAAATATTTAACTTAAAGAATAACAAGATGATTACAATTCATATAAATGTAGACAAAAATACTGTTCCCCAATATGTAAGTAATTAACCTACAGAAAAGACAGGTTAGGCTTGTTCTGTTTCCTCTGATGGAACCTCAGTATTCCTCAGCCCTGCTTCACAACATGAAACCAGGTCAGTACTTCCCCTAAAAGCATCACATTCAGCAGCATCCGCCCCAAAAAATGTATGGGGGAAATGAGCATTAAAAGGAACAAATACAGTCTTTAAAAATGTCTTACTTCATGAAGCCAGGTCAGTACTTCCCCTAAAAGCATCACATTCAGCCCTAACTGATTTGGCTCAGTGGATAGAGCATCAGCCTGCAGACTGAAGGGTCCGAGGTTCGATCCCGGTCAAGGCCATGTACCTTGGCTGCGGGCACATCCCCAATAGGAGGTGTGCCGGAGGCAGCTGATCGATGTTTCTAACTCTCTATCCCTCTCCCTGCCTCTCTGTAAAAAAATTAATATATATTGTTTTTAAAAAGCATCACATTCAGCAGCATCCGCCCTGAAGAATGTATGGGGGAAATGAGCATTAAAAGGAACAAATACAGTCTTTAAAAATGTCTTACTTTAACCTAGCCTGTGTTTTGGGCTTGATCCCCAGTGGGGGGTGTGCTGGAGGCAGCCCATTGGTGTTTCTCTCTTATTTTGATGTTTCTATCTCTCAATCCCTCTCCCTTCCTCTCTCTAAAATCAATAAAAATATATATTTTTTAAAATTCTTAACTTTAGGAAAAGTTACTACATTCATATCATATAAGTGTGAAGGTGAATGCTAAAGATGAACAATTAACTGAAAGAATATTCTGTATATCCTTGCATAAACACATTTTTATTTTATTTT